TTTTGTCGTGTCTTCGTTTATAATAAAATGTCTTGAGTAGAATAATTTGACGTCTGTAAAGTACTTAGAATCGCCAAATATTTTGTGCATAATTTTCCCTGCTCCTAACCGTATTAATAATTGTTGTTCCAATAGCATAATTTTCATCAAGCTCAAATGTAAGCCCAAATTCACTCTTCTATAACATGATATCATATATCCTTTGAAAAAAAAACGGTTGCATAACTATTCTTATTCAATTAGCATCTTGGTAGTGATAGAATAGGCAATGTTACATGTAAAACTGATCAATAAATACGTGGATAATAGTCTTGTGCAAGCTAATCTGGCTGTTCGCTTAGAAGTCCTTTTTTATGCGCTGAAAATATTATGGCGTAATTCTGTTGCTGCTAGTAAATCACCAATAGAGCACAAACGAGAGCTAAATTATGTGACTGACGGTAATGTGGATTTGCGCATAAGCAGTAATAGCACGGAGAATGTAGTATGCCACAAGCGCAAGTGTACTAAGTCCAAAAGTGAGAATGCAACTTAGGAGATAGTAAGTCATGCTACTTTAACATTCTCACAAATTTTCATGCATTTTCTATCACTTTTTTGAGGTTCTAAAAAAGAGCATGTATGCGATGTACAATTTCTGATCTGCAAGAGACGGCTATAGCTACTTGAAGACTCGCGCCGTATGGCATATAGGTGAAAGGAGCAAGTTGGTTATTTATCAACAATTTGAACCATGCCGCCTTCCGAGATATATTCTCTAAACAATGTGAATAGTATGTATTGAAAATACAAAAACGAACTTCCTGTATACAGCAAAAATTTAAGGTATCTGAATTTCCTAGTCGCATCCAGAAGTATCTACGTAGCCCTATCTAGATGGTTCAGTTATAGAAGTTGGCTGATTGAGCAACAACAAAACTTTTCAAAAGCAATGAATGTGGTGGAAGATGAATCAATTATATAACACTCAAACTGTGAAAAGCGTTCGAATTAAATTTTAAAAATGTTAAAATTCGTATAATTCAAGTAGTTAAAATATAACACATGTATAACAATGAAAACAAACTTGTGATGATTGTATGCTATGAGTGTACACAGAAATTAGCCTCATTTCGAGAGAGAGAGAGAGAAGAAAGTCATTTGCTTTACCTGAGTGATCATATTTCTATATTGTTCATCCAACATATCACCATGAATCAACTGAAAGGGACGACATTTCTTCTTCCACCATTTCATCCATCTTGAAATTGAGGGTTCAAATTGAAGATTAGTTACAGCAATATGAGAAAACCCACTTAGAAAAATCTTCACCCATCGCTGATCCATATCTCGCAGGTAGGTCGTTGATTTCGATACCAACGGACCGTTTCACCTGAAAACAATATTTGAGTGGAGAAAAAATAAACACAACTCCAAAAAAAAAACAACGCTTGCCGGCAAGGCGACGGCGCGACATCTTAGATTAGAGCGCAATGAATTGAACAGAAAACGAGTTTTTGAAAATTTTCTTCACCAGATCAAGA